ACCCCCCTTGAAAAAAGTGAATTCCACGCACTGCCATCAAAGGAAAACACAAGCTTAAATTTTAAAATAAGGAAGGATGACAAGATTTACATTACATTCAACTGAAACGGTTGAACATTTTCAGGACACTTACAACTCCAGCTTTCCTGGCAACTTCCAAAGCCAAATCATAGATGGCTTGCACTTCTTTGTCAGGTACGTCTACAGGCATTTTTCTGATCTCTGTACAAACTGTCTAGGAAAGAAAATAATCACATATATAATATAGTCATGTTATGCTGACATGGTATCAGAATAGAAATGTTGCAGATATTTAAAGGGCAGGAATTCCGTAACAAGCAGCCACTATGAAATAGATAGAGGGTTAAAATTAGAGTCAGTGTTGAGGCTAGCAAGGGTTAGGGTTATTGTTTGGGTTAGAAGGTCTTTTCTTTATGGAGTTTGTTGGGGTGGTTGCCCGTTACAGAAGTCCTTCCATTGAAAGTTAAAGGGCGCCTGTTTAGTTTAGGTCTACAAACAGTCAAGGAAATAAAATAATCACCGTGGTAGAAATTTAAATGCAGTGCTCATGTGGTATCAGAATAGAAATGTCAGTAATTTTAAACAGCAGTCTACTGTAAATCACGCCTAATTGATCGACTAGAGTCTACTCTCTGCAATCTAGGCAGTCTAGCATAGAAGTACAGTAGAGCATGACTATAGGGGCACCCACTGCAGCGGGACCATCCTTACAGTGGGACTTTTTAACGGAATCAACCATTTTTTTGGTCTACGTAAAGTCAGTTAATTGTGCTCAGGTTTAACGGGGCAAGGAAAGTCCCGAACTTGGATACAGACGGAGAGATCGAGTGAGCTCTAGCTGGGGAAAGGGGGTTGGGGGGTGGGGCTGTAGGCGGGCTCCAAACAGGCAGTCAGCGGTGCGTCGTTGTAATTGGCCAGTCCAGTGATGAGTGAGGTGGGGCAGGCAGCAGAGAAAGATGGTGCAGAGAGACACATTACGTGAGCCACTCCAAAAGTGAGGTGACATAGCCTATAATAGCCTTAGGCTTAGGCTAGGCACAAAAAAAAGACAGAAAAAGAAGAGGAGAGCGTAAAGTGTGGGATTTTTCGGTAATCATTCCCCTTTGCATTCCTATAGCAGGAACTTGCCTACAGTGCGATTTTTTTTCTGGAACTAAAAGTCTCGCTACAGCCATGTTCTACTGTACTAGAATGCTAGTCCTTCTTGAGATTAGCCACAGTAACGACTGTGCTGGGGGCATAATTACACCAAAGTAAAGACAATAGGTCAATAGGATTACACAGTTGTGGTACGATGTGGGTGTAGGTGGCTTTGCTTCATTTCGCAGAGATTAGATCAAAGAATTTCGAATTTTGCAGAGTGGTAGGGTTAAAGGTTATGATTGACGAGTAGCCTAAGTGGAGACAGACAGCAAGTGACCAGCGGGACTTTTTTAAAAACAATCAGGTG